TCAGTGGCATGGATACAAATTACAAAGTAGATGATCCCATTCATAGTCTATGTTAATAAGAAGGCAGGTGCTAGTCTGTCATATCACAGTGCTCAGAGTTTAGGGGAGAAATAGGAAATTAAGGCCCCCTGTTATGGCATTAGAGACATCTGGTAAAATCAGGAGAACATCAGTGGGCCTAATCTCCAATCCCATCTCATTCTACTGCACAGAGTTTTCCTCCCTCAAACCCATCCAGATAGGATGTAGCAAGCAGTGTCCACTTGTCCCTATTAGTGTGGTGGGTTTGCTTCCCTTCCAGATCACTATCTCAGTCATACAAGCCACCTATGTTCTCCATCTGTGGGAAACACCTTATTGAAACAGTCACTTCCTATAGCCCCCATTCACTCTGTTCCAAAATATAGCCCCCTCATAGGCTTATGTGGCATGCAAGGACCTGTCCCTGAGCTGTGACTGTACATGATTAGTAAATGACTCTTGATTGTGTTTGTCCTGTCTTAAGTGCTACAAGTTTAGTAGTTTCTTAATACTCTACATAAAAATGACTTTTTTTCACACAGAGATTGAATCATAAGCTACCAAACAAGTAGCAAATGAGGAGAGAATTTAGATCCATGCTGGTACATAGTGTAGCTTTTGTTCACATGTGACATATGAAATGTGTTAAGTCAAAGCATTATTTTTATAGGGATCAAATGTCAACTAGATTATGAAGACCCAATATAAACACAGGAATATAAATATCTCAATATTTTTAATTGTTTGTCTGTTGATATATCTTGAAAGTATCATATATTTGTCATGGGAAAACATAGAAAATAATGTTTGATTTTTATAAATATAAAATATAAATGAATATAATTAAATGTTCTCATCGACATAAAAAAAAGCTTTCATTAGATGTTTAAAGTAGAGACTTGTAGAGAATTCACGGACCTTTCCTTGTACTTTTTTAAGTGAAGATTGGTGGCATTAACTATTATATGTGCCTCCATGTGACATTTGCACACATGCCACCATTAAACTTCTCATTTGTTGATGAAATAGTAGGTGTAGAGATCTGATATTTGTGGCAATGTGTCTACTGGATTATGAGAGAATTAAGGAGAGTGATAGATAGAAGAGACAAAAGTTAGGCCATCAGTAAGGTAATCAAAAGATATCTGTAGGGGAGGAGAAAGGCAGTTAGAACAGAGAAGCTGCGAGTGTTGCTCACCAGAGCAGGGGCATACAGCAGCACAGCATCTTCTCCAGGATAATGATTAGGAAGCTACTTTCTCCTTTGACCATATATATATATATATATATATATATATATATATATATATATATATATATATATCATATATGTTTTATTATTAAGAGGAGTAGAAAATAGACATTCCTGTTTGTTGGAAGAGAAGAGAGCCATTATTAATTATATCTCATTTTTTATGACCAACACATTTCCACACAACTATTTCAGGCATTGTGCCTTTAGCCAAACATATTCTTACTGACAGGGTGTAATAACCTCATGAGTAATTATTTTATTGTCTCCAATTTACAGGAAAACAAAAACAAAAACACTGTGGCTCAAGGAAGTTCCACAAATCATCTAAGGCCACACAACTACTAAGAGGTAGGACTGGGATTAGCATGTCTATTTTGAAAAACCCATTCCCAATTCTGGGGTACAAACACTGGATGTTTGACATCCAGACAGGGTGTATGCAATTAGGAAGACAAGGGAAGGCAGAATCAAGTAGTACTTACAGCCTGGTTTCAAGAGACACATCACTCCAGTGTACACTTCAGTGACTGTACTAGCATCGGGGTGTATTCTGATGAGGACACAGCCATGGTCCTTTAGGGAAACAACTATTTTAACAATTTAATTTCAGTCAATGTAGAGTTTTCTTTCTGCTTATCCTATGTATTTCACTGGCAAATAAATAAATAAAAATAAATAATAAAAAACTCTATTTGTGAGACCAAAAACTCTTCAGGGTTTCTCAGACACAACACATTGACAGATATTTTCACATTTTGATGTGTGCATTAGTTTTCTTTCAGGGTTGAATTCCTAAAATTGATTTAGAAAAAAAATATATATGATATGAACAGACTATTAGACTAGATAGTCTTCTTTACGAAGCACTGGCCAGTGTAATTTTTGAGTCCCTCTTCCTTCTTCAGGCAAATAGCATTTTCTGCCAACCCCAGAAATAGAAGGCTTTAATAATATACATACATACATACATACATACATACATACATATCCTGTGTTTCCTGAAATTCAAAATAAATCAATCAATAAGTATAGAATACAGGTTAGTTTGTATTATTTAAAGCAGTAAGATTTAAAAAGCAGCACAATACTAAATGTAAGTTGAGTTTGCTATGATTTAGGCAAAAAACAAAAACAAACAAAGAATTTCTATAAGTTTTGTGCACGGTGTGTGTGTTTTACACCGGTAATGTTATTCTTCATGCTTTTTAAATTATGTTCTGGTCATTGTTAAATAGAAACTAAATTTTATTTTAGAGGAATTTTCATAATATAACTTTTAGGAGTTAATATGTGAAACAAGTAAATATAATTTTTGCCTTTAACAAAATATAGTCGTTGACATCTAGGCTTGTAAGTCAGGCAAGCCCCAAAGTCTGGGAAAACATGAAGACACCATGCCTGTATACTAAAGGGTATGAAAAAATATTCTAGTATTTAAATAAATGTATGTTGCATAAAAATGACGATGTAACATAAATTTGAGAGAATTACACTAACAAATTCCAAGAAAATAGTTCTGAAATGGGAAGAAATATTTAAAAGGAAAAATATTATGAAAGCTGAGATTTCCTGATTACTATGGTACAGGGTCTCATTTTCTAGATTTCTTCAAAATTTTAAATGGTTTGTTAAATAATTAAATACAATTCCTTACTTCATTATCAAACATAGCAAGAAAAAATACACAATAATTGGAATAGCAAAGAAAGAAAGAGAATGGTTATATTTGGGTGATAATTTGCTTTTAGATACTAATGGGCAGCTCACTGATATGTATATGTTACTAAAAAGATGATAAAGACACAGAAAATTCATTGCATTGTTAAATGTGGTGATGAGTTGGAAGTTCTTGAATCATATCAATATTATTTGGTATGAAAGTACCCTTTTTGCACTCTATCACTATCATTTTAGTCCTCTTCAAAGTACAGAAAGTCAAGGAAATAATAATTAAAGCCGAGTGTAGTATGCACACTTGTAATCCCAGTGCTCAGAGGGAAGGCAGTGGGATTGTACATTGGAAGGCAGGCCGGGCTACATAGTAATATCCTGTCTCACACAGAACAAAAGAAAGTGGCAGAAATGTTAGAGTATAAGTGGGAGGGAAATGGTGAATAAATTTTAATGGTCTAAATAAATAATCGTAATAATTATTTCACCCTTTTAAAGGGATGGAGCCATGCTCTTACATAAATAATAAGGGTGAGAACTTAGTCTCCACAGCTAAAATTGAAACCAGAAAATTATTGTGATTTTTTAGCAACAAAGGAGAAAAAGCTCACATTTTCTGATAAAGATCAAGTGCCTTTCGACAAGAGTACCAAGAAAAAACAGAAAATGAAAAACAAAAAAAACAAAAGAATGTTGTGAAATATAGATGACAAGTTGGATTTTCAATATGTGAAAAAGACATCCATGCTCTTTTAGAATAGCCAAATTTGATTTTTTTTACCTAACCCATCTCCCCCACCAAAAAACAAAAACAAAACTTACTGTTTATTATAGTATTAATGAAAGACTAATTCTAAAACAATGGGGATGGTGGTATTTTTTAAAATTTTAGCAAAATTGTTCTGGAGAAGAAAGATTTATTTGTGGGCAATGTTCCCAAAGTTGCCTTGATTGACTGTTCTGGTGAAATTTTACCTTCATGTATCACTAAAATGATAAAGTTTTCATAGATCATCATGGCCAAATAGGATACCATTCCGGTTAACATGATTTTATATAATTTTCAAATACTGTAGGAACCTGTAGCTCAAAACAAAAATAGCACTTCTTGTCTTAAAATTAACTTGTAAGTTTTATTTCTATGAAACTGGGTTAGAGTATTAGTGATGTTCAAATAGGTAACTTTGGGGTTTTAGATATATCTTGAAGTAGACAGTAAAACGTTATTATAGTAGATATAGTGGCATATATGAAACGTCATGCTTTAAAGAGTTGGACATATTTCTTACATAGAGGGAACAATGCCTATTTAGACCTGCATTACAACTTGGTGTTCATTTCTGGTGAATGAAGTTTTGTTTCTTCTTATTTAGAATAGTGAACAAATATATATAAATACTACATCACTGCCAAGGTGGGAACCTTGGACATGTAGTATAGTAATGGGCCCATTTATAATGGCCATCGTCTATTGGAGTACTGCAGTTCAGAATCACACTCTTCTGCCTTACTGGAGCTCTCTGAGAGATAATGCTGGAGTTTTCTGAGGATGGCATGCCCTTGTGATGACCCAGAACTTGAGATGAACATGGGCGCTCACTGCCCTACAAGGGGACGGTGGATCAACAGAACAGATGCATGATACATATAAACATTAGCCCTTAATTCAGACAGTGGGTTAGATCTGACTTCACTTATAGACACTGTAGCACTTATCTTTTCCTCAAAATTTTAATCGGTAATTTGCATATAGTCAGAACATTGGTCATGTGATGTCCTGAAAGCTGGTTAACAGATAAAGTGAGCTGCATGATGATCCCCAGAAAAGAAACTGGATAGTGCCACAAACCCCATATTTTGTTTCCAAAGCCTTGTGTAAGGATTAATTCTAATAAATGCCGGTGCGTGCATATGTTTTCATTTTATGGAAAACACTGAAGGGGATTTATTCACAGTCCTCTCTTGACAATCACAAGCGTATGAAAAGGATAAAGCCGTGCCGTTCGCCTTTTCTACTTAATGGTGACTCGGTGCCATGTCCTCTTCGCTGGTGCTATCTCACTTTCTGCAGTTCCTGTCTCAGCCAGGAGGGCAGAGGCTGCCCTAACCTGTGCAGCAGCCGAGAGTTCCACGTTGTGGTCCCGGTAGTAATTGGAGAGGAAGTTTCTGGACTGGAAACAAAAGGGAGACTTGAAGGACACTCTTAGCTCATCAGATTTTGGAAATACTATATCACAGTATATGTTGACAAACTGTTCGCCTACTATTTTTCCTTAATTGCTCATTTTACATTTTTAGAAATTATGACTAAAGCGTAGACCTAAAGCAAAGAGGTACAGGTGTGTCCTAGGAGAGTCAACTACCATTATGGCACTTAGACATTTGGAGATAAGAGAGTAAGCTGAAGCATAAAATCAGAGAAGGAGGAGGTGTTAATGCACAACCAAATACACATGAACGTGTAAGATAAAAATGAACAAATTTCCTTCAAAAATTACTTCCTACACTAAATATTTTAAAAGATTACCTGTCTGTAATGAGAAAAATTACTGATTATAAAAATATCTGGCCACAACATATATTTGAAAATTTTATTCAGGATATTTTTCTTTATAGAATTACAAAGCTAGGCTTCCTTGTAAAATTTTATAGATGCCTCATCTACCTGAAGAGTTTGGTCTCTTTTAAAGATTTTTTTTAAAGTTTTACCATGTTTTTAAAGATTTATTTTATATGCATATATGTGTGTTTCTGAGTGTGTTCAGGTTTCTGCAGAAGTTAGACTAGGACAGTGGATAGACTGTGGCTGTGCTGGAGTTGCAACTTTAATTTTAGACAATGAGCTAACATTCCAGTTCCCAGATAAATGAGTGAACACACACATACACATACACACACACACACACACATACACACACACACACACACACACACACACATACACACACACACACTTCCAGAAACAGAAAACTGTTAACTTGCTTTATTTCCCTACTAAATTCTCCAAACAACCACCAAATAAGATTATGTTGTTCTGTTTTATTTTCTGTCTCCCATAATCAAAATTTTCATGTGTAAATATTTAGTGATCAAACAAATTTTTCTATTGCATAGAAATGCTACCATCTCTCCTAAGCTTTTCTTAACATTTTAAACACAAATAAATTTTTTTCTTTATAAAACTCCCTAGCAACTTTTGTGTATACTGTGGAAATGGATTTAGGACAATTACATTTCATCTTGGACCATTCGCCAAGCATTTCATTATGTTTCTTCCCTTAAAGCAGATGGTAAGCACTTCAAATGGGGAATAAGATGTTTACAGTAGTGGGAATGCTACATTGATGTTTTGGGCAGATTAAAGTGATTTCTGAAACCCTTCAGAAATTACTGAGTTCAAAACTATATTAAGGACTTTCTGGCACTATCACCATAGCAACACATGAAGAATGCAACCTGCCCTTGCTCACCTTGCCTTAGGAGAAATGCTCACAATCTCTGGCTGGTTTCCAGCCACCATCTCTGATCTAATGCATCTTTCCACATATTACGATTTCTATAACTTTTGTCTTTTTGTAGTTTAATTTATTATTATTATATGCCTCCTGTTATAATCTCATAGCCCTAACTAAATTATTCACCCTATAATGAATTTCAGTAGCCATTTTATTCTTATATTTTCTGCATAGCTTAGCTCAATATCAGGCATGTTTTTGACATCAGATGTATGTATGCTGGTTAGTTTTTGTCAATTGGTCCAAACCAGAGGCATCTCAGGAAGAACTTCAATTGATAAAGTGGCTGCATTCTATTGGCCTGAGGGCATGTCTATATGGCATTTCTTGACTTTTAATTGATGCAGGAGGTCCCAGCCAACTGTGGGAAGTGCCAGCCCTGAGCATGATGGCCAGGACTGTAGAAGAATGGTAGCTGAGCAAGCCAAGGGGAAGCAAGCCAATAAACAGCATTCCTCTATGGTCTTTGCTTCAACTTCTGCCTTCAGGTTCCTACCTTGGCTTCTTTTAGTGTGGGAGTGTGACCTGGAAGTTATGATCTGAAATAAACCTTTTCTTCCTCAAAGTTGTTTTGTAGTTGTGATGTCTATCACAGAAATATAAAGCAAACTAGAACAGTATTCACTTTTTTTGCATAGTGGTATTTTTCTACCATTGTTTACCAAATAATTTATTTTTAAGTGCCTTACTATGTGGAAGGGAGTTACTTTTCAGAATATAATTGTGTCTGAGTTGAATTACAACAGGTAACAATTTCTATTGACGTATATCAGTTCTTTCTCTAACATCTTTAAAGTATATAAAAGTATAGATTACAAAGATAGATCAACAACAACAAAAAAATCAGATTTTTCTTCCTAGTTTTAAAACAGCAGTGTCTTTTTGCCAGAGTAATTCAAACCAAGCTAACATTACCTCTGGATCCATGGGTGGGTATTTTCGGCCTTTGCTCTTCCCAAGGCATTTGGTCTTTCCTCCTTCTAGTAGTTGACACCAAAAGCCCTTTTGGGGATCAAACCTAAAATATAAAAAACATATAATAATTGCAAATCATATTCAGTAAAGAGGCTTCCCAGTCAGATAAAAGAGCTACACTTTTGTATGCTTCTTACTTCAATTTAATTCATTTTTACAGGTGTTTAGCTGATTTGAGAAATGAAAATAGATATTAAAATTTCTATGTCTTACTACATATTTTCAAGTAGTTCTGCTGTATGGGAAAAGGTACACAGACCTACAATACAATTTTTTATTGAAATTATTGTGTTACATATTTTAGTTATGAATCTATAATAAGGCAAAGCATTAAACATTAAAAGTACAGCCTACATATAAAAGACTTTTAGATAGTTTGTTTCTTTATGACTGTGATTTGCATGTATAAATATATTAAAAGAATTCTCTGAAATCATTTAATGGATTTCGTTAATGGGACTGAATTCCATGTAGGTATACTTCTCTGAGTATAGGTGTAATTAAGCCTTTCAATTTGAAAACAAAACTGTATTCTTTTCTACAGTTAATTTTTTTTAAATATTCAGAAAGTAAAAATGTTACAGAATAGTATTAATGTACTTCTTATGATACTTCTAATGTACTTCTAATGAACTTGGTGTTTGGTTTTCATAATTACAATAGTTAAAGCATTCAACAAGATCACATTGTGCCCAGAAAGAATAAACTTGTCCTACATAAAATATCTTTATTTAAATGGATTCCTGTGTCTTTAAATTTTTTTAATGTGTAAAGATATAACTAATTACAATGTCTTCATATCTGAGACATAGGCACTACACCTGGTGAGTCAAATGTAGCCTTCTTCTTGTCTGTTGTTGAAGGCAGATGATCATGTTGGGTGAATCTCATAGCTGTAATCCTGTACATAAAGGCTTCTACATGCTATAATACTATGCACACAACTATCTAACTGTCAGAATGGCAAATACCACCTTCAAGTCTGTATAGATTTGATAACTTGCCTTTGTGATATTGAAAAATTTAATGAAACAGTTTTTGTTTACTTGTTTTGTTCTGTATTTTGTTTTTCAAGACAGGGTTTCTCTCTGTAAAAGTCCTGGCTGTTCTGAAACTTGCTTTGCAGAGAAGGCTGGCCTGGAACTCACTGAGATCCGCCTCTCAAGTGCTGGGATTACACATGTGTGCCACCACTGCCTAGTGAAACAGTTATTTTTAAGAAAATCAAGTATATATTTTTCTGGATGGAGCACTGCACTAATAGCAACATGTTAAAAAGCAAACAACAACAACAAAAAATCACACACACACACACACACACACACACACACCACGCACACTATTTTAAGGCTCCAATCAGCCCCACTAAGCCAACGAAGGGCAGTATGTCCACTGCAGTGACCAGGAAAGACTGTCAGCTGCAAACCTATGCTCCAAGCAGCAATTCCATTTTGCAGAACAAGAAAAGGGACAGATTTCACAGGCAGTGCCTGGCTCATGCCAACCTCCCTACAATGGTTATAGCCAGCTGCAGATGAATTGAACTTTGGTAGAGCCCTGCTGGCAGACAGTGTCCTTGACTCCAGGGCCTGGAAGGCAAGCAGTGCTATAGCTTTGACACAATCAGATCCCGAGGTGCTCTCAGAAACTCTAATGCTATCTTATTTTTTTGGTTGAAACTTAGTTACACAGGAAAGGATGTGTGGCCTAACTGTGTTTTGTGTAAAGTCAAATGTATGAGAATTTCTGATAAGTACTAACAAGATAGGAAAAATGAAAGAATGAAACAAATAAGAAGGGAAGATTTAAATTTATCACTATGGGACTTGCTGCATGCATAAAACATGGCAAAGGTTTGCATTTTTGTTGCTCAGCAGATGTTTTAGGAAGATGAAGCATAATTGACTGGGATGTAAAGTTAATTAGTTGCAGAATATTTTGTTGCCTTGAGCCCATTCCTATAACACTGCTAGACCTGAAATTTGCCTCTGCACATGTGTTCTTTTTATGGTGAGAGGGAAATTTTCTTTAGTTTCTTTCCTGACCTATTGTTAGAGAGACCTGATCCATGCTGTCCACATTGTACTTGTACATGTCCCCAATTAAAATCAGATCCATCAGTGGTCAAATGGATAAAAGAAGACAGAGTCATTTCCAACCTGAACTTTCCAAGCTGCTCCCTGTGTATCACAGGCCTTCCTCTAGTTTTCACTAATTTCCCAAGAGGAATAACAATTCGGCCTTCTGTGCAAAATGAGATAGGAGCATCAGTAGCACGATGGCCCTAAACAGCATTTTCTGCCTCAGGATGAGAATATTTAACCATGTTAAGGCAAAATACAACACTGGTAACAAAGCTGAGGTTTTGGGGCCCACGCTGACAGCACGTCCCCTCTCTGCTTGTGTGAGGGCTCAGCATAAGTTGTGGAGTTTTCTTGTTGGGGGCTGGGCCATCCTGAAAACCAAACGTCATTTTAACACATGTGGTTTTTTTTTTCCCCTCTCTGTTTGGGGTCCTGTTCCATTTATGAGGTCCTTACCATAATAGATGGTAAGTCTAACAGACAGATCTCTATGTTAGAGCAATTCATTGTTTTATGGTTTTACCTAACAGGCATGTTATTGTGAATATAAGATTCAAAGCCCTTTCAAATAATTATTAAACCACTCTTAGGATGACTTGGCTGACATGTGACTTCATTTATTATGCTAAGAACCCCAATACTAGTTAAATTTTGTGATATGTGAGATATAATAAAATCCATATATTTTGTAATTGTTTATAAACTCTCCTTCATAACTATGACTTTACAGGTTTATTGAACCATAAGCAACTATTTTCAGTAAAAAGGACAGAACCATTACCTAGGCTACTGCTGAGAAGGGCAAGATATGCCAACATCAATAACTATTAATGCAAAACACATTATGGGAAGCTTTGTCTACTCAATCAACAGGGGCATGCCTCGTGTGGCTGCTGTTTCCATGTGTAGGTAAGAACTTCATTAGGATTGTTTTAGCGGATAAGGAAAAACCCAATCTCATTACTGCTTTTCCTGTCCCTCCATTACCCTCTCTAATTGTCTAATTGCTGAGTCTAATCTTCTGTGAACTGGGAAATTATATAATCAGGCTTGTTAGAATTTCGTCTAAAATTTAATAGGCTTTATATCAGAGCTTGGGGGAGTCTTGTAGGAGTAGAGCACATGCCCTTTTAAAGTAAGTTTCAGCTGCTTGTAGCACTTCTCTTTGTTAACTTGGTCATCTAATTTTAAAATTACTTGAGTAGATAGCTCTATCTTTCTGATATGAGGGCAGCACATATGCTATTTCACATACCCTTTTGTAACACAGTACATCCCTCCTTGCCAAGATATGGATTTGCATTTCCATCCCTCCAATTTGGACTTGATTTACTTGCTGGTTTGCCCAACAGAATGAAATATGAAACAAGCTCCGTGGCTGTCAAGGTCACAGTAGCCATAGTGATCTTAGATCACATGGTCCTTCTGTTTTACATTCCTTTTTAAAATGAAACCAGTTCATTGTGAGAGAGCCAAAGGAGATTTGTTATATAGAGAATCTTCATGCTACTGAATTCAGCCTTTGACTCAGTAACCAAAGATTTGAGTGATGGAGCCTCCAGATAATTCCAGTCCTTGGTCATTTGTGCCATAACCAGATACTCAAGTCTTTCTGGTGGTGATCTTTCATATCAATGGATAAAAGTCAAGCTATTCTCCATGCATTCCTTTCTAATGTCTGACCTACGAAACCTGTAATCATGGCAAAAGGGCTGCCATCTTACACTAGGTATAGTGATGGTTTGTGATGCAGCAATAGATTACTACACTGCATGATTCCATAAACATTCTAATACATGCAGAATAAGACCTTGTTCTGTAATAGTTTTCACAAAGGCAAAATCTTTCCATCTTGAAGAAAAACAACTTCTTGCTACATGGGGTAGGAAAAATAAGATGAAACAAAAGAATACTTTAAGACAGTGTGTTTACAGGGAGGTGAAGTGAAACATTCCATACTTAAGGAAGTTCTTTAACATGTAAAATAAACAACTCAAAATAGCTACAGGAAGTCCCTAAAGCTGAGCAGATTCATTATGTTCCTCTTTCCCCAAAAGTATATAAGTATATCTGAGAGTGACTGTCAGAGGGACTTCAGTGCTTGAAGACTCAGACCAAGCAGCCTATCTGAAGCAGAGACTAGAGTAGCAGCCTGTGACAGAAGGTATCAGTCCAACTGTCTAAAAGAAACAAAGACAAACTGAGCTGCCTAGAAGAGGCTCACATCAACTGAAGCACCAGGAATGGACACCTCAAACCTGTAGAGCTGCCTGCAGGCTGTAGAGTATCCAGGTTTTCTAGCTTTTGTCAGCTGTGCTGGGACAGATATAATAGTTGTCTCTGAGATATTTCTGCTCCTCTATTAACCACAATAAAGCTCGTTGGTTCACCAAAGTGGACTTTAGTGGTATTTATAATTTTATCTATTGTTAGTTACCTATCTGGAGTTAAGTAGATGTTTAGTCATGTCTCACCAGAAATAGCTTTTCTCCAAATCTATACTAAATATTGTTTACTGTCTCACAGGGAATGATGGCATACCATGTTTCATTTCTATTCTTTCTATTCTGTTCTGTTCTTTTGTTTTCTTTTTTCAAAACAATGTTTGCTCTGTGTAGGTCCATCTTTCCTGGAAGTCAGTCTATAAACCAGGCTGGCTGTGAACTCAGAGAGCTGCCTGCCTGTGCTGGGATAAATGGTTTGTACCACAATTGCAGACCCATGTTCCACTTACAACTTGCTGTGAGAGGACAAATCATTTTCATCTTTGTAATTTCAGTTTTTAGGACACTGTATACAAAGTAGATACGTAAAATAGCTAAACAAATTTATATTGGAGGAAGGCTTAAAAGTGAGATTTATCATAATATAATGATACCTATTATACTTTATAATGTAAAGTAGTCCTGTTATTCAAAAAGAGACACCTTAGAGTAATGAGAATGTTTCTTTGTGTCTGAGTAGCAGAATGATGTATAAATTCATAGCTAGTATTAATGATGCTATATACATTCAGACTAGTGATAATTTATGATGGCAAATAATGGAAGTGAAATCAAGCATGAGAATAGACTCACGTTAGTGCTTCAGAGTAATTATAATGAGGTGTAACTCCTAGAAACTTCTGGACTTCATCCATCACAGTAGCTGGGTCAGATCTCAGCTGTTGTCCATCAATAATTAGCAACTGCAAACCCAAAAATAGTCACTTACGAAGAACAAAACTGAATTAAATCAACCAAGTTGCCCCTCTTGACCTGGTATGGCATTAATAAGTCAGGCCACTTTGAATGAGAAGAAAACATTCACTACATAGAATACATTTAAATGTTGCTCTTCTTGCTTCTTTCCTAACTAAAAATAACTAAAATTTTCCATAGAAATTGTTTTTGTGTTGGTGAATTGTGAACTCAGTTTATTTTTACGCAGAAGTAAATGAAAATGTCTGTAGCACTGGAATTGTAGTATAGACAGGTGTTTCTCATCTCTACTGTATATTACCAGCTAACCATTCAGCCTTCTAAATGTTATCCCTAACCTTGAGACCAATGACTCAAGAGTGACCACCCAAGTGAAAGTGACCCATCTATTTTTACAAACCATGACTGAGGGGAAAACCCTGAATGAGAGGAAAATGTTTCTGACTTTCTCTCTTTGGATCACTGATGGAGAATATGGGCTAAGAAGAAGAACATCAAGGGTGTTTTTCTCAGATCTTACTGTGGTTCTATCCCATGTCTAAAGCCCTTCTTTTTATGGTCATCTAGATGAAGGACCTCTTTTTTTTCACAGTAAGGGTCTCACGTGGCAGAGAAGCTGAATGAATCCACATGGATACTTCTACGAATTCTCTGGCTAGTTGGATTCTATACTAGTTCTTGAGAGTTTTCAATTTTGAATTACATGACATTTCTTTTGAAACCAACTACTCATCAAAGAACTCTCCTAACTATGTGCTTCAGAGCCATCTAACTACATTGGATGGTATTAGTAAAGTAAAAAATATGTAAAAAGCCACGTTTTTTATGGCCTCTATTGCTCTTGGTTATCTGTGAAGCACATCTGTGTGTGTCAGTGCGATGCAATCATGATATGATAAGTGGAACATAATTTCATAACATTACCTGGGAAGTAGCAAAGTAGGTCAGCCATCTTTCTATGTGTACTGCGTACCATCCAGGTATCAGACATCTCCTCTGCAAGGTTTTTAAATCTGGTGGGGCCCAATGTCCTGTTGAGATAACTTCATAGAAATTGAACCTCAGGGCAGCTGGATCTTCATGGGATCGTTGGTGCTTTAAAGGAAAGGTAAAGTGTAGAGTTAGAAATGCTTTTTAGATGTTTGCATAATTTTTGTGTATATATACCTATGCATTTGGCACATTGTTTATTTCAAATAGCAGGATTTCAGTAAATGTCAAGTAATATGCAGATATATGTAGAGTTGTTTTGCTTCTAAAATATGTAAACAAAAGTAGATGGAGTGAAAGGATTTTCTACAAGGGTCTGATTAGATATGAAAATGTGCTACAGAGAAAAAGTAAGCTTGATAAATATAAATTTAGATGGACAGCAGTGGTCTCACACGTTGTTTGGTCTACTGTGCCTTTCAAGCTCCTTCTAGTGGTTCCTCTGTGTGGCATAAACTATACATGCAGAAGCCCCAGATGGCGATGTGTAACCATTGTTCAGATGTCCCATCCAAGTTAAACTTGTCTCTATTGGTCGCCACCAAGTGTCATTTCATTCCTGCTTTTCAGTATCAAAGCTTAGTAGTCTTCCCCACAAAACTACCATTTGGCAAAATAACAAAGACCAACTAAATGAGAGAAAAATTTAATAATGCAGATGCTTGAAAATATGTTCCTCTCATCCATAGAACAACAACAACAAAAATAGTGATGGATGTGAAGCGTAATTGCTGTCTTTAAAGAAATGGAGCCTAGTAAGAGAGGCAGTAGAGTAACAGATAATATCAAAGACATATAATTTTTATTTTATTTTATAAGTAAATTTTACAGGTAAATTACTCTAGACAAGTCAAGATAGTTTAGTGAGGGGTCAAAGGTCAAAAGTGGAAAGTAACTGCCTGATGAGTGAAACTCATATTTCATTTTATTTATAATGCTGAATACATGCAGATGACATATCCAGTCCAGACAACAAAATGTGTAGAGATTTCATAATTGGAAAAATAATTGCTAATATGCAGTATATGCATATTAATAGAGTACAGCCTGGCTAAAATTTCTGTTATAAGCAGTAACCAGAGTGTACTCAATCTGCTCTTATTGACTTATGTAAGTTTAGCTTCAGATTTTCTTTATATGCCTGCAACTAAGATTAGCATAAAAATATGACCAGAAAGTCACAAAGGAACATATTTTATAGGAAAATAGCACTTTAGTTCCTCTGTGAGGTCCATTATAAAAATGTGGGGTAGAAATTACAGTAGCAGGTGACGTTCGTGCTGGTTTCTGACTTACACCTGCTGAGCTTCAGATTTATGTCCCTTACTGGAAGGACGGGTCTAGCTAAGTAATAGGCTACATTATTTTGAAATGTGGAGCACTTTGGGGCCCTGGCTTCAGCAATACAGGCAATAAAAAGTATTATCAGAAAAAATAATTCCCTTAAACCTGAGTATCCAAAGAATTTATTTGGAAAGTAGTCACTGATAAGCACTGTATTATGTACATTCTATTTCATTCAAGTGATTTAATCTATATAAAGCAATCATTTCAGTCTACCCTACATAGATTAAACATTCAATATTCTCGCAATATTTAAATTTAAAACTTTTAATTAAAGTTTACACCTCAGTGTTTTGATTTTTTAATTAACTCTATTATAAAAGCCTTGCAAATAAGAAATTTCACAAACCCAAATTAACCAGACCTAAAGTCTATACTTCTTAATGAAATTCTATACAATTAAAATAGAAAATTTGAAGTTGTTGGACTTCATATTTGATTTTACACTTTACAGTATAGAATATATTTTATGCACTTACCTACCACCAAAACTGAAAAATCCATGCCAGAATTAGAAATAGAAAAACAATTATCTTTTTATTCTCTTTTATAACTTACATTCATTTAGTATTTCTATAGCTTCTAAAATTTAGCCTTTCTTGTTTACTTTCCTACATGTTATACATTATGTGCTGGCTTTCTTTATGTTAACACGACACAGGGCTAGAGTCTTCTCAAAGGAGGGTACCTCAATATCAGCATAGATTTGGAAGGGGCTCCCAAAGCTCCACCCCTAGCTACGAAGCTATTGACAATTGATGACTGCTTAAAAAGGGAGTCACTTGAATGTAGTCACTCATAAGTTAATTCACTGTGTGAGTTAAATATTTAGTTGTTTTATAGTTGAATGAAAGAATGCATGGATGGATGGATGGGTGGATAGATAGAAAAGTGATGTATAGACACATAGTCTTCTTTTGGTTTAAGATAATTTTTGCATATATTTAATGGTTAAGTTAATATATACTTGAATTACTCATCACTACTCTTCTTCATTCTTACCTGGTACCAAGAATATGCCCTGTCCGAGGGGTCAATGAGGATAGTAATGATCTTGGCTTTGGGAACAAGAGATGCAGCTCTCTTGGGAGCCTCTTCTGAGTGAAAGTAGTTAGCACTCTTTTCAAATAGGAAATCACTGGTAATGTTGGAAGGAGTAGGGAAAAAGTCCATATACCTGCAGGTAAGAAGAGAAAATAAATTAATCTGAGCAGTATATTTTTTTAATTCTGCCACCCAAAATGGGAAGATTTTGAACAGGTTTTATATCGTTTGCATAAAGTTCAAATTATCGTGCTATAACATCATTCAAATAGTCAACATGCTGTGCACTTCTAATGTGAAAGCAACCCATAATGTTATGTGCTCATGACTCATTTAAGGCAAAGGGAAGAACGAGGTAGATTAAGTGAGTTTATAATGAATGATGGGATAATACAGTGGATTTGAGCTGATATCCTCTGCTGTCAAAAACCAAGTCCAAAATTACTGATTATGCCTGTACAGAACAATATTGTGTCATCTTCCTTGACAGATATTTTAAATAGTAAATGTGTTTTTGCAGATTTGAATGCTAAGATTCTTAAGGTTAGCTTGAAGTTCATAAGACAGAAAGACATGTAAGTCAAAATAGCTATAAAACATTAAACAGATTAAGTCGTAGCTGTTGTCCTTTTTATAAAATTTGGTAATATATGCAGTAATATCATCACATTATAATTTATCTAGAGTAATTAAAGGACTATTTTCTATCAGTTGATCCTGCAGTGCCTCCATAAGTTCACCCCTCCATATGCTGTCGGAACATTCCTCTGTGTGTATATTATGGAATCAATATGTTCTGAGGCTAATTCAGTACAAGGCTTTAATTATGTGTGTAACCCTCTTTACAGCTCATCACTTCTCTCACTCTCAAATGTTCTAGAAAAAAATGAGAGCAATTAAGAATCCATAGAAGGCACTTATTTTCCTCTTTGACATTTGTTATTATGTTTCCCAAATGAAGAGTACTGAAGAATCTCATCTGTATTCTTGCTTAAATTTTTCTGTTCTATTTGAGCTCAGAGAAAAGGGAAAATTTGCTTTTCTTTCTTTAATAATTTAATGTAATTCCAAAATGTAAAAGTGAGATAGAATAGTAACATCTCAGATGTAAAGTGAACATGGTTTCACTCAGGATGAGACGAGATCTGCACAAAAACATTACTCTTGTTGGGCCATTATTCTAGAAGGTTCATGTGTTATGGAAACACACAAAATTAAATGTTACAAATTGTGTATTGAAAGCAATTTTCCTCATATGAGATTTGCCTTATATTTCCAGGGAATATAAATCTAGGGAAATCAAATCCAGGCTCATAATTTCTTGGAAAGTTAGGATACAGACAGAAAAAAAAAATCATCAGACTAAGTACCATCTCCAATATTAAGTTTAGTCTATTTTATCTTATGGAAAATATTGTTGTTTTAATTGTTTTCCACCATTTATCAAGTGCTAATTAATGTTTCTTTTGTGTGTGTGAGTAGAATTGATATGGTTTAGGGAAAGCTCTATTATAATTTGCATGACAAATATTGCCTACATTGCAATACAACATACACAGCTCATGTGGTTAATGAAGATACATGTCCCAGAGTACAAAATAAAGCAACCTCAGGCATCACTGTGAAGACAAATTATGTGTTTAATAAAATAAATGGAGAAACTGTAAAATAAGAGTATGCTTAAAGAGAATTTTAAATATCCTTATGAATAATGCTGATGAAAAATAACCCCAAAATGTTCGTTATTCAATCATATTAACTTACCAGAAAAATATTATCATTATTGCACTGTCCAAATCAAATTATAAGCAACACTGATTAAACATATCATCATTATAAATTAATTTCTAATTCACTGTGGTAGAATTGAGCATAACAAATTTATTCTGTAATTATGCAGATGCCATGCACACATCTGTAATTGCTCTGGGATGACAGAGCATGTGTTAATGTTTGAGTTCATTTTTTTTTTTTTTGTTTTTTGGTTGTTGTTATTTATTCTTACCACTCAATTCCCTTGTGATAGTTGTTGCCATTAAAAAATTGAACTTCTTCAAAGGTTTTTGGGCTAGGGAGATTGCTGATGATGGAAGGGTGCATAAGGAGAAATAAATAAAGTGCAGTTGTTCCTGTTACAAAGAAAAGAAGATACATGTTATATGTCAGAAAAAAGAAAAGATTGGAAGATCACCGTCATATTTTAAACAAAAATAAATTTCAGTAAACCAACTCTTTCCAGTGTTTTCTTATAACTAAATAGATGCACTTCATTTTAATAATAATCAAAATGGGTCTGGGTGTTTGTGATGCACCTTTAATCCCAGCACTCAGGAGGCAGAGGCAGGCAGATCTCTGTGAGTTTGAAGCCAGCCAGGTCTACAGAGTGACTTCAAGGTCAAGCTCCAAAACAGTACAGAGAAACCCTGTCTTGAATAACAACAACAACAATAATAATAATAATCAAAGTGGATTTATAGTAGCCTTTGTGCTTCTATTTATCTAAGTATCTGATTCAATATTGCTACATAGGCAAAGAAACATGGATGAGAAATCTAGTCAAAGTAGAATTTCAGAAATGTGTGTTTTAATTTCCCCCTGGAGTCATGTCATAGGTATTGATAGCCTCTCTATTTTTTGGCTACTAAATCTAGAAAATCACTGCTTGGCAATTAATTTCAGTCAATTAGATTGAAATACTTGATAGAAGTATATGTTATTTATTATATGCCACAGGAGTAATAACTGAAGATAATTTTTTTGATCAGAAAAGCACATGCATTGACTTCAATAAACTTGAAGTTCATGTGTGTATTTGAGTCTAGAACAGGGGCAATGGAAGGAGTGAACAGAGGCTTGAGTACCTAAAGACCTAAGGGAGCCATCACTTTGCACGCAGGGAATATTAATCATGTAGCATTTTAAACCTATCAAATATGTGGCCCTAAATCGATAGTTAAATTAGGAACAAAACACATAAAATGGCAAGTAGATGGTATTTAAGCAACAATAAATACTGTTTAAAGCTTTAGTTTCATGTGTCTTTTTTATGAATACCCTTTACTTAACTAATTATTCCTCTGAATAAACAAAATTATAGGAAATAGACATTCTACCTCATGAATGACAACTCAAAGACCTTTACTCTATTTATAGATGTCTTATGCAGAGAGCTATCAGCCAAGTCATATCTTCCTTGGCAAGTATTCTAAGACAACCTGCACACTGTACTGGTTATTTTTTTTATTTGTTTTAATAAATCTTAAAAAAAAAAAAACTACAAGAGAAACTCCATACAATTTAGAGACATCTGGAAAGAGACCACCTCAACTGAGAAAATACTTCTTGCAGGGTGGGCTAGATTAAGGGAAAAATTCTTGAATAATGTTTGATGTGGGAGAGCCCAGCTACTCCTGCAGAGGTAGTCATGGGAAATAAGGCATAAGGAACAGATAAATGTGAACTTGGAAGCAAGCCAGTAAGCAACATCTCTTAGTTTCTTCTTCGGGTCTTGACCTCAGGTTCTGCCTTGAGTTCCTCCTCTTCCCTCAGTGATAGATTGTGATCTGGGCATGTTAGTAATAAAAATTTTTGTTGTTTTTTGTTTTTGTCTTTTTGGCTTGTTTGTTTTTTGTTTTGGGTTTTTGTTGTATTTTTTTTCTCTCTCTTTTGAAGTTGCTTTGGTTCATGGTGCTTATCACAAGAATAGAAAGCAAACTAGGACACACAGGATTTGAAAAACTAGTCCCTGGGCATGATGAACGTGGGTGAAGTTTTCTTTCTTTCTTTCATCTTCCTCCCTTTCTTTCTTCCTTTCTTCCTTTTTCCCTTATTGAGACAAGATCTTAATTACTGAATTTATAAGTGTTTGTGAATTTATAAGGAGTTTGTGAACTTCAGGTGCCTTGGTTTTTTCTGAAGCTATTCTCATTCAGGAAGCACTTCCCTAGTGATTTGGCAGACAGCCCCCAGGTGGTATAAATGCATTACCTGTGGTTGATTCCTATGTACAATTCCTATGTACGGCTTGTGGCTGGTGGCACTGGAAGCCATGTGCATACACATATTAGTAAAATTAAAATCTGATTACAAGTGTGACTTATTTCTTTTTGAGCAATAGAAGCAGGCTACAGATCACTCTTGGGTTTTGTGGGAAAGCTGTTTCTTCTATGTATCACTTTGCATGTTGCAAAATGAGGCCCATTTTTTTTTAACCTTGCAACATTTATTTTATCACAAATTTTACTAGTTCTTTGAAAATTTAATGCATTACATTTTTATTATATTAAACCCCCTTTTCTTCCTTCATGACACCCAGATATATCTTCCCTAATCACTCATCCTTGTACATGTTTTTTTTTAATAGGTCATCAAATCCAATCTGTGCCACCTATATATTCTTGGATATATGGTGTTCCATAAAAGGGTTTGTTATAGATGTCTCATTCAGGCCTTCAGAGTCCACAGTCCTCATGTTCTACAGCTTGACAAGCTGAAGGTTTGTCTATTAATTTTCATCTACTGCAAAAAATTTTTTCTTAATCTATGGGTATAATAAGTCACTAGTATGAGTTTAGCACTATTCTCTTTTGATAAAGAAATAGTAGTGATTTCTCTTGTTAGTACCACAGATTCATGGTGCAGATAATGTCTCTAGGTATGGGTTTCATCTTGAGGAGAAACCCTTAATTCTCAACAGAAAGTAGCTGATTACTCCCAGGATGTTTTTGCCACTATTTCTCTAGTGTATATGTTGTGCTTTGCTATACTAGTTATTAGTACTAGGAATGCAGAACTGGGAAAAACCTGTTATTTTCTTTTCTCCTTCAATAGCAGTATTCAGAATCATGGAAGTGAATCAAAATGGATGAAGCTTACAGGTCAGTACTAACTTGATATCTCCATGTTTTATGACTCAAGTATGTGGTATCTTAGCAACAGAGTTTTACCATCAGGTTCTATAAGGTATCTATGAACATTTGAAGTGGCTTTTCAAGTTGGGTTGATGTGACCTTACTTTCCAATAGTTGCAAAAAATGGTATTTCTTTATAATTTCTGTATAGGTATTTTGAGCCCTTCTCTTATCCTCCTTTGCTCTCTTATTCAATTGCACTCTATCTCCCTGACCTTGAAAGTTTGCCCTTCCAGACCTTGGATAATTTCATGACCTGCATATGTATTCCAGATGAAACACATATATCTGAACATTCAAAGATCTTGTTTACTTATTTCTTCATCAATATGTTTGTTATTTATGTATAGAAAGAATATTGAATGTTGTATAATGATTTTATATTCTTATACTTTACTGAATGTATTTATCAACTGTGGTTTTCTACTGCAGTCTTTATGTTGAAATCCCAATCTAAAATTAAGAATATTATGACTCCTTCTTTTACTATTTGTAGTCCCTTTATGTCTTCATTTATCTTATCAAATGTTCAAATGATAAATTGAACAGGCATAGGGGTGGAGTGGACATCTCATTTTTCCACCAGATTTTAATTGGAACTCTTTGAGCCCTTTCTTCATTTAAAATATGTTAGCTGATATATGTTGGGCAATGCCTGCCTCTCTGGGATGAAGCCAGTTTGGTCTTTGTAGACAGCCTTACTGCTGTGTTCTTCAATTTAGTTTGCAAGAGTATTATTGAGAGGCTGTGCATCTATACTCAGCAGCAAGACAGACCTATAGTCTTCTATTTTACATAGATTTTTTTTGTCAAGTTTTTGTATCAGGGTGATACTGACTTTGTAAAAAGAATGTAGAAACATTCCATCATTTTATTTATTTATTTATGAAATAGTTTGAGAGTATTATTGCCAGTTCTTTCCTTAGTTTTTGTAGAATTCTGTATGGAATCCATCGGACCCTTGGAATTTTATAGTTGAGAAGTTTTTACTTCTATCATATCAAATACTATTGGTATTTTTAAATATTTTTAACTTTAGCTTTAGAAACACATTATACACACACACACACACACACACACACACACACACACAATGTCTTTAACATATTGTATACATGGTACAGTGTGTGCATGTGTGTGTGTGAGTGCATTTCTTTTAGATTTCCCAGTTTATTGAAATACAGATTTGTAAAGGATGTCCTCGTGATTCTTTGAATTTCCTCAGGCTTTGTGGAAGTCTCTCCCTTTTAAAATGCAATTTTGCTCATTTGGATACTCTCCTGGTTATTTTTCTGAATTTGAATAAATATTGTCAGTCTTATAGCTTTTTTTGTAGCACCAACTATTTTTATTTATTTTATCCCTGATTGTGATTGTATCTTCTCTCCTACCTTGCAGGATTATTGTTTTGGTTTTGTAAGATATTAAGGTGCATCATAAAGTATTTCAAATGAAGTGTTTTGTATTTTTTTGATATAGAACCATGGTACTATAAGTTTTGCTGTATCTCACATATTTGTGTATGGTATGTTTTCATTTTCATTAAATTTGAGGACTATTTTAAACTTCCTCCTTGATTTCTTGACACCAGTATATTTAACATTCAGGGTTGTGTTGTTTGCTTTCTATGAGTTCATGTTTTTGTTTTTATTTCTGTCATTTCTGTTGCTGTTAATATTTAATTTTATTCCAGTGTGGTCAGATAGAATGCATGTTGTTATTCAAATTTTCCTACATGTGGTGGGACTTGTTTCATGTGTTCAACTTTGGAGAAAGTTTGATCAGTTGCTGAAAAGAATGTGTATTCTTTAGTGTTAAGTGAAATGTTCTGTAGATGTCTGTGAGGTCCACCTGGTATATAGTATCTTTAAATTCCACAACTTTTCACTGCCAAGGAAAACTTGCTCCAAGCTCCTAGGCCAAACTGCTGAAGACAAAAATGCTATAGTTTAGAAACAGAAGACATAGGATAGAGGCCATAACCTCAAATGCCTGCTAACAAAGTCAACAACTAGCCAAAATATGGAGTAGTAGCTTCCTAACCATAGTATCTTCCTGAATATTTGACAATTTGGCATTAACCTTTCAATCTAGAAAGCGTAGAAAGATATATTCCAAGTTCTAAAAAAAGTCACAGCTATCAATCCAGACTATTATACCCAGCCAAACTATCCATTAAAATTGAAAGAGAAATAATTGAAAACCAGATAAAAGAATTTGTGACTACTATGATGATTCTAGAAGTGAAACTACAAAGAATATGTCAGTCTGAACAGGAAAAACATACCCAAGAAGTCACAGGCAACAAAAGTAGTGTGAACTGGTTGTTAGTCTCAAAGACAGATAGGGCAACTGGAGGGTCTCACTCAGGTTGTTTCCAGGCTCTAGGTATATATATGACATAATGGGGATTCCTTGGTAAGGTAGGGAGCAAGCTTTGATCTGGGTCTCCACAGTAAACAGGCTCCACAGTCCTTAAAATGGCAAGTAGATGGTATTTAAGTGAGTAGATGTTATTTCATTGCCTAGTTTCCATGCTGACTAATGATTAGTGATACAGTAACACTAAAAAATAGATGGAATCTTCCAGTCCTAGCATCTAGAAAGAGACCAGATAGTGACTCCAGAAGTTATTAATGAGGTTTCTGACATTCAAAAGTTTCGATACTACAGCACTAGCTAAACAGTTCAGAGATACTGACTTCGAAAGCCCAGACGTTATTACCAGGATACAGCTAAAATGTTCCAAAAAATGTCTTGACAGCAGATACTTTGGAAACAAAAAAAAAAGTGGAAATATTACAAAGGAACTGGAAAGAAGTATAACACCTGAGCAAAAGGCTGCAGAGAGCCAAATCATTAAAAAAAAAAGTGAGCTTTGCCACTTTGGAAGTTCCAGAGGGCTTCACATGTGGAGGGTCCTAGCATTGGAGCTTAGCCTACACCTTCAGAATGCACAGCTCCTGGATTTAAAGTTTCACTGCTTCCTCAGATCTGAGCACTTACAGCACTCAGTTTCCAGCTGTGGAAGCTTGGAGCTTTGAGTCTCCATTGCTGAGTGCTTAGAACTATAAATTCAGTGGTATACAGGTGTGCTACCCAGGATCTCACATCTGCTGACTCTGAAAAAACAACCCCTTATTTCCATGCTAGTAGAGTAAAGGGCCCGAGCCAACTGTTTTTGACAGAATTTAAAGGAGAAAAATTTTTAAGCAAATCTAACACCCATTTAAATGTTTATTATTATTATTTAAGAAATAATCACCAAGGTAAATCAGTAAAGGAGAAAGAGAATGAGAGAGACAGATTGAGAGAGAGGGGGAAGGGAGATGGTTAAGAACAGAATTCAATATGACAAGAACCTGAACTCCAGCCAGAAGAAACATTTTAAACACAGTGGAAAAAAAAAAAGTTATTAAAGTTTTGAGAGGAGTCTGATTTGCCCCTGAAAACAATAGTTCACAAAGGAGAAAATGTGAGAGGAAGTACCACACATTCTAGAGACAAGCGAGTTAAACGGTCGACTGAAAAGGGATTGGAACACAATATCCAGGAGGTTCCTTCATTGTGTTTCAGAGTTACAAAAAATTACATGGTGATGAGGAAAGAGGAGGGATGAAAGTGGTCTGATTTTTTAAAGACCTACAAAAGAACAGGCAAAATTAATAGCTTGATATCTTTAAGGGTTAAGCATGGCTGGATCAGGGCACAGATAAATGAATGCTTAAAAGTTATCGCTGAATATCCAATAATAGATATTTTATGACCTCACTGAGAATAAAGAATTTTTTAATATCTCAATGGCTGTGAAATTGTACCCAGCTTTGCTCTTGTGATTTGAGCCTTACACCTTCATGCCTTCAGAATCTAGAAGATGTGACGTGTCCCCTTTCCCCCTGGTAGCAAAGAAGGAATGAACTCTACCAGGGATTAGAGACCTAGGGCTTGGTGTTCTTAAAATCGGCCATGAATTCTACATCTGCTGGGACAAAATGTTTGTATTTTTGTCCTCTTATTTTATCATTCTTGTCAGTCATTTGTTATACAATCCTTCTGACACAAGTTTATGGAAAATGAGGAAGGGTTTTGCTAAGTAACATTCAAGAAACTCTGTTTTTACACAAACAACCTTTTACTTTTAATTTGCCAGACTAAGCCAGACAAAGTATGAGAAATGAGTACTGAACAAATGGTATTTTAGATTCTCTGCTAAGTGTGATGCTATTAGAAATCCCCTTTCACAATGGAAACACTGCTCTGGAGTGTGAGGGTACAAAACTGTCTAAAGGAAGGTAGAGACATGGTGTGAACTGCCTTATGTCCCAAATTTCTCTGTCTTCCATATACTCTCATCCCCTGGTTGATCTCAGCGAAGGATCCCTTCTAGGATTCAGTAGTGTGAAAATGGGATCTCACATCCTTCTGTTCTCCCAACTGTAAAAGGAGGTTTGTAAGGTACATTTTTTTTTTTTTTTTTGTACTTCATGTTTCTCACAAGGGGTGACTATATCATGTTTAGGTTACTGAAATTTAAAGTGTGCTCAAGGGTAGGTAGTTAGCAGATAACTGCAACTCCCCTTCAGAAGATTTACGATGTCTTGACAGTAATGTATGCTTTACTAATATTAAGAAAAGATATCTATGGTTGGTTGTTTCAAATTAATAGAACCATTTGTCTATTAAGTAATGTATCTATGCCATATATATATTGATATGCAATTCCTCTGTTTTAATTTCTTATTTTACTTGAGAAAGTAAAAAAAAAAAAAAAGCCACAGAAACAGTTGAAAGCTTTATCATTGCCACATGGATAGGCCACATATTAAAATCTAAAGGTATAACATATTGGTTTTATAAATACAAACAATAAGGAGGAAAAAGATTTATAGTTAATAACATGTGGTTTTCTAGCATAACTAAGCAGTAATAATATTCAATGACAAATGATAGAGAGTCTGTCTTTAAATTAAATTTTTAACAAAACTTTACAACCCAGGATGTTTTATTTCTTTATTATTTATTCTCAAGTTAGCAGTACTGTAGGGAGTTGGCAGAAAATTAATGCACATTTTAAACAACAAAAACATGATATATCTGAAAATGTGTGTTGCTTTTCCACCCTCCCTGCATATGTGTTAATTCACTGTTGTAATACAATTTATATTCCTAGAGGAAGAAAAGATTTCAACAACCAATATCTGATAGTCTGGAAATTGTACTCACAACCTTTAAAATGATCTACTTGCTTGTATTACAAATGTCTTCACTGCAGGTTATTTACAGTGACTGTTTGTTTTGTGTTATGCTTTGTGTTCTCCCTAATGAAGGTGCTTCAAGTCCAAGAAGTGAATTCAAGATACAGCAACTCAATAAAAAACTTTAATTAATCAGGATATAAGCAAAGTATATAAAAGTGTCACACACTGAAGAAAGTATAAAATATTCTAATTGAAAGTGTCATCTCATTGGTGAAATACTTTCATTCTCTTTTACTACATCCTTATACAGTTGTCCTTCAGTGCACAAGAAAATACCAAGAGAGAATGCCCTGCAGAGATTGGCACACAGCAGAAAACAAGTCTATAGCACATTAATACTTAATGAATGATTTTTAACAACACACATATAAGATAATTTGTGAGTAATAACATCCATAGTTCTGAACAGAGATCAGTGCTGATGTGCTGTATAAAATAGTCTGAGTTTGAATCATAGTCACCCTTTCATAACTCAATTCAGGGATTAATTAGGCAAAGCCACAAAAAGAAAAAAAAACTTTGATACTTATGTTAAACAATTTTAATCTCCATAGCTAAAGCATCTAGAGTTCAAGTCTAATTAATGGCAACAGCATGGTCTTTTGAGGCTTGTAGGATAGCAGATGAATGATGAGGAGGTGCAACGAACTTGCATAGGGCACAGAACAAGATCCTATAATATAATGCCACAAGTACTTAATAATGACAACAAGGCAAGAAGCATTACTGCCCAGCCTTACCTGTTTTCTGGAGGCCCAATTACAAGGAACTTTGGTAAATGGTCACAAGTTTTCTCCCTGGACCAGATGTCTTTGTGCCGTTTATCATCACATGGATTCTGCAAGAAAGAATAATGCATCTTACTGAATCCTGGCTGCTGTGTCTTAACAACCTTTTTGATGGGAGATGTCATTCGGTAAATATGTTTCTCGTATTGGTTAATGAATAAAGCACTGTTGGCCTATAGGAAAGCAAAATAGAAGGGACTTGGAGACAAGGAGGATTCTGGAAGACGTAGTAGAGAGGAGTCAAGATTTAGGGTGTGACAGAAGTAAGAGGCCTGGACCCTTCCTCTGGTAAGATAAGACCACATGGAAACACTTAGATTGATAGAAATGGGTTAATATTTAAGACAGAATTATCAAATAAGGCGCTCTAGCAATTGGTTAACAGCTTTATAACTAAGAGTCTCTAGGTGTTAATTGGGACTGATGTGGCTCTGGTACCAGGTTGGCACAAAACTTCTCATAACAAAAACCTTTCAAGTAAGACAGGATGAGATTCCTGCCTGATCTCCTAGAGCTGGGCATACATAACACCCTGTTTGATTCTCAAATCTTTTCCTGTGCAGTGATTATCTGGTTCCCCACTCAAGGCCACACAGAGGCAGAGCACAGTCTCAAATCAGTCCTTTTGCGATGTTCATGTACTCCATGACAGATAATAATGGTGACTCTGTTCTATCTTTATTTGTGTTTTGTGTCTTCTGCATCAAAGAGGCTTGAACGGGAAAAGTCTTACTTGACTGTAGTTTTGCAGCTTTTTTCTGTCTTTTTATTTTTCAACAGTGAAACATCTAAATATTATAATCTGGGTACTTTATTTCAATATAAAATGACTTTCTTTGGGAAATGTTTCTGAAGGTAATACCTGTTAGATAAGTTGTTTTGAATTAGGATTTTTCCTAGAACTTTGATAAATATAGGTAAAAATCACAGTTTCCAACATGACATCTTTCTAGGAGAGAGTAGACATTTATCCAATTAACTATGCTAGCTCTGTCAAGAAATGTTTACACAAATGAGCCTCCATTTTTCAATTAGAAAATGCAAAACTGAAACCTTTTATGTCATTTGAACACTTATTAGTTAATTTATTTAATCTCACTGATTCAAATTTTCATTTTAAAACATGAGGGTAAAAGTGCTATATTGGGAACTATATTATTTCAAAGACGTATATTTTTCTTTAAATTTTTATTTATTTATTTGGGATATGGCTGGTCCCAAACTCTTGTACTCAAGTGATTTTCCTGTGTGAATCTTCCTAAAGAATATTATTATGGCAGGCATCATTCACATCTCTTACAGTTTGAAGTTACACACCATCTAAATGTACTTCTCATCCTTACCTACAACTGATAATACCAGGGAACATAAATTTGTAAATACTACCATTTTTTATTGTTTGAGGATCTCATATATTCATAATATGTGCTTTGATCAAATTCACTTCCATGTTCCACCCTTTAATTCCTCATCACCACTTTTCTTTTCCAACTTCATGTGCTTGTTTTTAAAATCCACTGAGTTCATCTATTGCTACTTGTATGTACCTGGGTTTAGGACCATCTCCTGGGGCCTCTGTAGCATCTCATAGCCTGGATCAATGAAGGAGACTTTCCTCTAGTAGTCATCATTTCCAACAATTCCTCTGCTATGTTGAGAATTTTTACTACATCCTCCATTCATGCTAGTTTTTTGTCCAGTATGATCTTTAATGGGTCTGGTACATGAGCACTGTGATAAGTGATAATAAATACGTAAGCACTCTCTCTCCTAAGCACTATGAAGACACACCTGCAGATGAACGTTGCATCCACAGAACAGTTTTATGGTAGTCTCCCACTGCCTCTGGCTCTTACAAACACTCTCTCTCTCCTCTCTTGCTCCATTACTTCTGAGCCTTGGGGTGGTGTGGGGATATAAGGTATAGTTGATGCACCTTTGGTTAAGAACCAATAATTGTTAAAGGCAATTGTAGTATGTGATAATTTACTTTGGAAAAGATTAAGCTATATTTCATGGATTTTCCAATAAATTTATCAATAGAATACTCCCAAAATTGAGTGAAATGTAAGTTGTTAAAGTCAAAAATTTCTTCTTCTAAGATGTAAAAGGACCAGAAATTCCATTTTACATTGACTATCATATATTTCTTGAAACATTTCTCTTGATTATTAGATCTTCTACCCTCCACACCCTAGGATTAGCTTAACTATCCATCCATGGTTTTTGTTTGTTTGTTTGCTTGCATTTGTTTTTTGTTTTTTGCAGTGGCAAAGAAGGATGGGCTTTCATCTTTTCTATTTTATTTGATAATGAAAAATTCCTTATTTTGCTTAGTACACCGGTCTCCAAGCTAAAGATTGTATTTCATAACCTCTCTTGAATTAGCCTTTCTGATGAAAAAGTCTTGAACAATTGAAAGTGAGACAAATGATACGAGGTGTCTTTTTTTTAAAGTTAAAGCCACCATCTCTGTTTTCCTCTTTTTGGTTATCATTGGCTATAAAATGGCTATAACTGAAGAATGAGCCTGCCTTGCACCCAGAGGTAGAAACCCTAGGTAGAAGAACTTACTGCCTAAGGCATTAAATTAGTCTATGGAACAGAGATGTCTATGTTTCCTACAATGCTCCCTTTTAGATAATTAGAGGAGTGATAATCACATTTCTAACTTATTTCAGACAAGGTGTATTTTAATATCACTGTGAAACATCACCTATAATCTAATGTAATGTGTTTCAAAACTTCTTTCTGTAAAAGCTAAGGAGCTTGGTGACAGAATGTGAATCAATACATTCCTTGCTTCAACTGGAATATTTTTCTCTGAGCTGTACTAAAAAAGCAGCTGAAACAACCAGTGTTCTTTAGGGAATGTAGTCAATTTGCCCTTAGCATATGCTTCTCCTCTCATTGGAGTATCAGCAACAAATGGTTTAAGCTTGTTTGTGGACCACGCTGAGCAGCACTGTTGGAATTAAGATTGCTCAGCCCACCTAGTACATCAGTCACACTGCATTCTCTATCATGGAACTAACTATGATAGTCTGCTTCAGAGTCTTTGAATAAATTATTTTCTTGCTCAATGTCCATATTTTCAACCAATTCTTAGTCAAAGCTTTTCTATTTTTTTTTTTCTGGCTTATGTTAACACCCACTGCAAACTTCCCTCAGCCCAATTAGCAAGGACATGAGCCCAGGGGTCTTGGCATGCTTTAGTTAATGTTCTTAAATCTCTGGACCTCAGTTTCTTTGTTTGTAAAACAATGATTAATAGTTTCTAGCACATATGGTGTGCCCATTAAATTTATTACTAACTTTAAAATAATAAAATCATGCTGTATATAAGAAAGTGCTTATTTTATTTCATACCAGCCTTTTTTTTTTCCCTTTGCCCTATTAGTAATTCACTTTGAACAAAGGGAGGGATCTATTGTCTTCCCTTTTAAACATAGTCAAATGTCCCTCCTGCCTTATACATGATACTTTTGTGTCATAATTTCTTCACAATTCAACACCTAAAATGATTTTGTTCATGCTTGCAATAATCCTCTACAGTTAAATTATAGCCACACTTTATTTGGAGTCCATCTACAAGACTGTAAGTTCTCTGAGAGGGAGGCCTCTGGCTGTTCCGCATTGCTACAGCCTAACACATGAGATGCTTAATAAATAAATGGCTATGGACTGAAAGGCTGGTACCCTGATTTCCGAAGGCACAGAAAGAATTTTGAGGCAAGTTCAGATTAATTACATGTTTAAGAATGCTACTTTTTTATTGTGTATAAATGTTTGTTTTCATTTAACTGGACTTTGTTATATAAAATTAAATAAAATAAAAAATAAAAAAAAGAATGCTACTTTTTTCTCACTTATCACAGTGCATGTCTTTCTTGCCCTAATTTCTACTTTAAAAATGATGAAAACTTTCTGGGCCATCAGGATTGCTCACTGGGTAAAGGACTTGTCACAAAGCCTAACAAAAAATTCACATCATGGAAGGAGAGATCCAATTCTCTACAGGTCATTCTCTTCCCTCCACGTATCCTGTCCACTTTAAAAAATAAAAATAAAAGAGCACTTGTGCACACACACACACACACACACACACACACACACACACACACACACACACCAGACAGAGACAGAAAGAGAGAGAGAGAGAGAGAGAGAGAGAGAGAGAGAGCAAGAGAGAAAGAGAGAGAGAACCCCATAGTTGTTAAATAATGACACTAGTTAAATTGATGTACTTCTCAGATTCTGTACTGGTAGACACAAACTATAGATGCAATTATCTGGTGCTAAGATGGGGGATTGCCCACTGCTCCAAATGTTCTACTAATATTAAGAGTTGACATCACTTCAGATCTTCCAACTGGTTTGATATGGTCCTGATCATGTGCTCACATATCAGCAGACTGTCTTTTTTTTTTTTTTATGACTGTTCTCTATATCCTTGAGACTTTCTAGCTGCCTGTATTTCTGCTGTCATCCCTTCCCTGGCATCCTTGCCCCTTTGCCTGTTAATTACAGCGTTATTGACAAAGCATTTGCATTTTCTATTTTATATTCTGGTAGTGGTTGTTTAGACTTTATCTATGCTGAGTTTCAAGATATTGTCTGATAATTTCAATGCCAATGAATATAATATCTAGCTTTTATTGATCACCTTCAACATCCCAGACATTTGCTTGACATAGATTATTTCTAATCCCCAAAGTAACTGGGCAAGACATATTTCATTATCCCTTCTTTATAGCTGAGGAAGGTAAGATGCAAGGAAGGTCACATGCAAGTTAGTTCAAATTTTAAATCTGATATTGGTATTATCTCTGCAGTTAAATTGTGTGTTTGGGGGTGACATGGAGAGTGTGTGTGTCAGAGGAAAGGAAAGGACAAAGACAGAGACAGAGACTCACAAAGAGAATGCAATTCACAGAGTGTTTCCAGGGATAGAGGGCAGCAAAGCAGTTCCCTTTACTTTTATGCTCTGCTTTACTGCTATTGTTTTAATTTTAAAGTTTAGGCATAACAGGTCACTTACATAGATACC